CACGAGCGAGCATGGGAAGTATGCAAGCCACGCCATCTCCCGCTCGATCAATGAGAACACCCCGCGCTGCAACCAATCGCTCTTCGATGTCGACGCCAGCCCCAACTGAGCTAGAAGCGCCTGCTGAGGCAATCTCCGACGATGAGCTTTTCGTCCGACAAACCGCCCAGGAGGAGCCTGAGCCAACCCCTATCCCCCACGAACCAATATCCCATCCATCAGCTCCCGACGAGACTCCATCTCGCGTTCGCGAGGACCCAGAAGAAATCCCTAACATTGTCCAAAATGCCTTCGATAGAATGCGTCCGCGGCGCGAACCCGCCGAACTGGCTACCATCACTATTGGTAACCGAACTATAACTTCCATGATCGGTAGTGGTCCTCCACGAAAACGAGTCCCGGAAGATCCACCCCTGGTGAGAGAGCCGCCCCGACGGAAGAGACGGATACACACACCATCACGGCCTAACATATTTGGCGAACATATGAAATCGTTTGCGGCACCTGGATCGCAGCTGGATGATAAAGAAGATAAAGAGACTTCTCCTAGTGAAGATGACCAGGTTGAAGAAGATGAAGATGACATTTCAAGTGAAATCGAGGATACACAAAGCACTGAGCAAGAGCCCGAAGATGAGGGCTCTCCTCCGCCCGAAGATACCGAGTATGTTCCCGACCAAGGTGCAGCTCAATCGGAAACCGAAAACACCGAGGTACCTGCCGCAAATGAGAATCTCGACGAAGCTCAGAAGAAGGCGCAGGAAGAAGCTATAGTTGAACGGCTTATCCATGAAGCCGAGGAGACTGCTGTGCTTCCCCAAGAAAACAGCGCGAACCGTGCAAAGAAGATGAACAAGGGCGCTGCACATCGCGACGCGACTACACAACTTGTCGGCACGCTAGATGGGTCTATTTCACATGTCCAATCTCAGCTCATCACATTGCAAAAGACCATGCAAGTGGGGTCCAAGAAAACGCAAGATGAAGCCACTGATCTTGGCGAGAAAACTGCTGAGGACAAGCTTTCCTTGACTGTAAGCAAGAACGATTTCGCCCAAATGCGCGTCATCGGCCAGTTTAACTTGGGGTTCATCATTGCAGTCCGGCCAGGAGAAGACCACGATGAGCTCTTCATCATCGACCAGCATGCCTCTGATGAGAAATTCAACTTCGAGCGCCTGCAAGCCGAAACCGTTGTGCAAAACCAGCGACTCGTCCGTCCGCAACGCCTCGATCTCACTGCCGTTGAAGAAGAGGTTGTACTTGAGAATCGCGCCGCTCTTGAGAAAAACGGTTTCCTCGTGACTGTCGACGAAAGCGGCGATGAGCCTATCGGTCGTCGGTGTCGGCTGGTCTCGTTACCGCTGAGCAAGGAGGTGGTGTTTGGCGTTCGAGATCTGGAGGAATTGATTGTGTTGCTGTCAGAGTCAATTTCAACATCAAATGGACTATCAGTACCACGACCAAGCAAAGTGCGCAAAATGTTTGCTATGCGGGCTTGTCGCTCAAGTATCATGATCGGGAAGACCTTGACAAGCCGTCAGATGGAACGAGTCGTTCAGAACATGGGTACTATCGATAAGCCATGGAATTGTCCCCATGGTCGACCGACCATGCGACACTTGATGAGTTTGGGCCAGTGGGATGAATGGAATGAATATCAAACCGAAGGACTCGACCCTTGGAAACAATATTTGGAAGGAGAGGACGAAGATGAAGAAGAAGACGAAGAGTAGTTCATAACGATACCCTGTGCGTGATATAGATGTATAACAAGAACAACAAATTGAATGAACAAAGACCTGAACCCCATCACCACCATTTCAACCACCCTTTCGCCGACTGTTCCACTTTCTTCCCATTAGCGTCAACATCAACATGTCCATTTTGCCCATTTACATTGCCATTCTCAAAAGCCCCATTCAGTTCCGTATCAATATCTCTCCGGTCATCACCATCCTCACCCCCATGTTCCCCATGACCGCTTTCAACAGCATCCATCATATCCTCCAAGGCCAGCAAATCGCGCTCAATCATCTCTGCCCAATTTTGCACATCCCCGATCTCCTTTAATCCCTCGCGTGTCTCATCCGCAAATCCAACCCATTGCTGATTCTGTCGCGCTAGTCGCTGCGTATTCTCTGCTAACTCGGCTTCTTGTCTTTCCAGCGCCGTCGCGTTGGATTGAATGTTTGCTGCGCGGTCGCGGAGCGGTGCTTCGAGGTTTGTTCCAACTGAGTGTAGTGTTGCGGTAAAGGCTGCCAGCGCTTCTTTTTGCTGTTGGTCGTCTGTTGTGTTTGCTGGGTCTGCGGTTGGGTTTGGGTTTGGATTCGGTTGCGGGGTGGGGTCCATGGTTGTTTATTTCGGATTTTGTATGATTTTGTAGACTATGATCTTTGGAGAGATGATGTAGATAGCTTGTTCAGGGTCTCTAGTCCTCTTTGTATTTTTGAGATCTGGTTACTGATATACGAAAGCTGTAAACAAAAGATCGACCCCACTCGGCACATGTCATCTCTGTTGGTATCCGTTCCCCGCCTTGAGCTATGGAGATTTGTCGATCAGTGTCTTTATTTTGAAGACTGGAGTTTTTGATCCCTTGGTTTTTCTTGCCTTGTGGAAGGGGACTTATGTTTGACTTGTTTCTCGAATACCGGTATGCTGGGCTTAATCACACAAATTGATTGATATCAAAGTCAAACATATGTTCCCACTTTATATAGTTCTACCAAGTCTAAAATCACACCCCCATTCGGTCATTCCTTTTTCTGGGCTACGAAGAGACCTACTAGGTATAGGTTCTGGGTATACCATGACCAAATTTAAAACCAGCCCAAGAGGAAGGAGAAGCATGCATTGGTCTAGATGGCTGGGAAATTACATTCCAGATTATAGCGTGCATAGTATCGAAGACAGATCACGGAGTCTATATAATGAACCTCTTTACGCTCCATAGAGATCTCTATAAAGTTATCGTTAATATCTTTATCGTTAACCTTCAAGCGCCTCTCTCTTTAAAGCAACTTATCGTGGCTATTGTTGTCTACGCTTCTCTCTCTACAAGATGCCAACCAGCTAGGCTACTCACCTACAGTATCACCTACCTACCCACAAATAGTCCCAATAAACGTGCCCCTCTCCCTCGACTGTCACCTTGACGCGTAGAGTTTCTAACGCTCGCCACACGCTATCATCCTATAATACCTTCCTTCCGACGTACACCTCTCAATTCGCTATCCACGTGGTTAGTAACCCCCCTCTTGTAAATACTATTCGACATACCTCACATTTACCCACTTCATACACGAACAAATGTCTTCCAACAACAGCAACAATAGTAGAGATTAAGATCCCAGAGCTTGTCCTAAATTCTTACTAGCAAATCTAATACCGCACTTGAGTACGCTACCCCTTTCAGGGTAACTTGCTTTATAAGTAAGCTGTTATAATACTCTACGTTACTAGAGGAATTTGTATAACAATGTCATATTAATTGTTCAAACGGAATAGTTTGTTAAGGTAAACTTAGAATACTAACGGTCTAGAGACTTATAAGTAGTTTAAGTTAGTCCCGAAAGACAGCCTGGGTCTGAGATACCTGGCTGCTCGAGTCTTGTCTATTTCATAGGTAACGTCCTTGTAGGATATTTCGAGAAGGTTGTATTCCTCTAGCCCAACCTTCAACTTTGTAAGTGACACGATAGGGTGATAGTCGTTATCTTGGGTCATATCTTGCCTTCTGTTTGTTTTAACAACCAACATTTCGTTTTCTTTGGGTAAGGCTGCGCTTCTCTCATCGCATATGCTTTTTAGGGAGAGAAAAAAATAGTAAGTCTAGTGTAGAGAATTAGTCAGCCAAATGTACTAATGTCGAGAGCTTCGAACTTATCATACAAATTCCATACATGTACATAAATGAGGCTGGACTTGATCTAGCCAAAAATGTGACCCACTTATATCAAGTAGGTGCCATGGTCTAGTGGTATGACGACACATTGTGGTTGTTTCAAATCTGTGTTAGCCCCGGTTCGATTCCGGGTGGCGCCATTTCTTTTTTTCTCCCCTCAACAGGGGTTATATCCTATAATACTTTATAATACTACAAATATCAAGCTTTTAACATCTAACAGGTGCCATGGTCTAGTGGTATGACGACACATTGTGGTTGTTTTGATCTGTGTTAGCCCCGGTTCGATTCCGGGTGGCGCCATTCTTTTTCCTTTTTTTCCTACTCTGGCTCATATTATACGGGCTGGACGGTGAGGAATTCCTCGCAGATAATAGTAATAAGTAGGAGATAGGACGATCTAGAGGACAGCAAGGAGCTTTCTGCCAAATATTTCCGCCTTGAGATATTTGCACTATTTGTTTGCTTGCCTGCGATAGGATCCCCGGAGGATCCTATCTCGCCTGATCTTTTTTTCTTTTTCTCTTGCTCTTTATACTTAGTATTTTCGTTAAAATGCACTCTTTTGCTTAGAGAACTGGCTAGTAATATAATACCAAGTAACACTCTTAAACTCAATGAAGCAGTACGACTAGACTTCGCCATAAACCGCAAAACCTATAAACCGTCCTACCCTAAGCCGCAATTGAGCCGCAACTGGGGCGGGTTTTAGGGCGAGGACTATAAACTGCAATATTTTATAGGGTTCTAATTGAGGTTTAAAGTAGAGTAGAATTATAGAGTATATATATAACCTTTATAATTTATATAATTTCAATATTAATCATAGAGGATCTAGAGGCGTTGTGGTTATCTAAATGCTTCATTGATACAAAATTAAGTGGCTAGGGCGACTGGCTTGGAAGAAACTACGTTATAGTATTCGGATGGAAGCCCTTTGTATCTCATTAGAGTTGTACCATTCTACAAAGAAACTCCATCACGTTTCAATGAATGCATCACGTTTCAATGAATGCATCACGTTTCAATGAATGCATCACGTTTCAATGAATGCATCACATTTCAATGAATGCATCACATCTCAATGAATGCATCACATTTCAATGAATGTTCCATGTGGGCCTAATGGATACACCGTTGACATAATCGCGCGGCCCACTTCAGTCAACGTTTTGGCATCGAGTGCGATCAAGATACTGTGAGTACCTGTTTTGTTGCATACTATGGTCAAAACAACCCCGTCATCCTCTTCGGTAGATCCAGGTCGTGACACCATGATCGGCTCGCATGGACAACTCTCACCGCCGCTAGGCTTCCATTTCAAGAATGACCCAGTCTCCCAGTCTGACTTGACGATACTGCCGAAGAAGGCAGCCTGAATAACTTTCAGGCCATTGCCTAAACGCCCAATAGGAACAAGTGTACCAGGTGATGACTCTCCGTTCCCTCCTGTGGCATAAACATACCTGTAGTTCGGGTTCATTGAAGCAGACTTTGCGATTCTGGGTAGCTCCATTCCAGTACCTGGAATCGACTGTGCTACAACCACCCTTCCCACACTCTTCGACTCCGTATGATAGTCTAGGCGTTCAAGCTGATAGCGTACAAGTGTACCATCAGCGAAAGGCTCAGCAGGATCAACCACGTTGCTGACGCAATACTCCCGATACGGAATAGACGCAGTGTCGTAAGCACAGATATCAATCTGTAGAGTTCTGTCACCCGATTCGTAGAAGTCGAAACCATTGACAGTATGGAAAAACATGAAATTTGGACCGTCATATTGCGCCAAACTTATCAAGCAACGTCAGTCATTATGTTTTCAGTTAGATAAATTAAGATATCTGCCAACATACAACTTGCCGGTGAACTTGTCTAGGACAAAAAAAGATACCGGGGATTCTTCTTCATAAATCATCATATCGGTGATTGACTTTGACACGTCGCTGGTATCTAGAGAAATTGGATTGCGAATGAAAACCACATAGTTCTGGGTCATTGCCATTGAGTGGATATAACATGGCTTGCAAGGAATTTCGGTCTGGTACAGATGGCATTAGCAACTCTCTACAGCTCATGGGATAAAATCTTACCTTCCACTTCAGTTTGGCAGGGCTTTCCGTGTATTGAAGAGAGAACACCGACAGCTTTCCCGTCTTGTTGACAAGATAATTGTAGATACAGCCAATTGTGCGATCTTTTGGGGGATGGGCACATATACCGTGGCCAGCAAGTTCCGGATCAATTTCGGCATAGGTTAGAAGACGCTTTGGCTCCAGGGTCTTTTGATCACACACTTGGAGGGCGTTGAAGTCGGTATGAACAATGAGCTACACCTGGTTAGCCACAAATCTCAGGCGCAAGTGCAGAGACTCACTTCTTCCTGCTCTGGCTTGTTTGATGCAACTCCGCGGTCCAGAGAATTGGAACTTGGAGGAAGAGAGTACCCGCGACGGGGAACTACCGCAATATTTCGATCCTCAGGGCCAGAATGCCCTCCCTCTGTGAAAAAGCTTTGCTATAGAATTATTAGCTTATAATATTGTTTCTCAGACATCATATGCGCTACCTGTGTACGAAACAACGCTGAACAAGGGTCTTCCGCCTCGATCAGACTCGTATTCGCGTTTGGTCCGAAGAAATGAGATGAGAGATATCCGGTCTTCTTTGCCTTCGCCACTACCCCGTTGGCAGTATGTCGGTTATTGTAGTAAACCTTCCCCTCATGCATGCGGAATCTATGGAGCATCGCAAGACCATCAAAAAAGTGCTGGAGAATGGCTGCAGGCTTCGAGTCATCCTCAGAAAGTGGCACCGTATATCTCCCGGCGGCAACACTGCATTTGACTTTAGTGCGTATTGCATATGCATATAAATTTGTAGGATGAGCATACCGAACTAGAGTACCAGACAGCCATGAGGGCCAGTCACCCTGCGTTGTACACTCCGTTTCCTCCAGGATCTCCACACCATCCTGGAAATAAGGCGGAGCGTACTTCTTATGATCTTCCTGGGAAAGGAAGTACGAATTCACTACCACTTTCTTCTTAGTAGACATTTTGAGGTGACTTAAATTTCCAGAGGAAGGTTGGATGTAGTGGTGATTGAACCATGGTCTATCTCACAGGAGCTGATGCTATTTATGCCCCCTTTCAGTCGCGGGAACCCCGGGTAACGACCCGAGGGCCTACCTAGATGAATAATTTGACTTAAAAATAATACGGGAGTTTGAGAATCTACTATATGACGAGAAAAGCTGCACTCGGGTTTGCTATAGCCGCTTACTAATCGCTATCTCCTGGACCAAGCTACGCAGTGGGAAACCACCGGGGGAATTCCTTTGCATTGGTTACCCCGAGTCCACAAAAGTGATGTATTATAATACGTACTTGCAAGACTCCCTTCCCCATATGTGGAATGAAGCATTTCCCCTTAACTTGTGCATTCGCCCAATCAAAATGGCGGTATTCCTAACTCCAGATCCGCTAAATCTTCTACTCCATACATTTGAGTTCGCTGACTCTGCGCTAGCCTTCCGTCCGTTCCCCGAATATACCTTATTCACTAGCAAAACATCGGTTTGGTCGGAACGACGGCTATCGATCCTGCCTAGTGATATTGTCTAAGCTGAATGGATTGCTGGTCGGCAAATCAGCTACTCTAAGGGAGACGCACTTTCGCAACCCGGGGTTTCAGACCTAATGACTTGTCGATCATCTGGGGAATGATTTGACCCTTTTAAGACACCCGCTTTCTTCGATACCCCAAGTTCCTCAGGAGTCCTCGCTGCCCGCCCTCGCTTATCTACCTTGTCAATGAAGAAGTCAGTCTCTAAATTATACGAAATCTCATTGCCTTCTTTTACTCTTCGAACCTTGTGCTTCCTCGCTTGAGAAAAGAAGTCGAAAAAATGGAGATAACTGACGATGGCAAGGCCCTCAGCTCTTTTGTATGGCCCCTCAACCATGCTTAGATAAATTTCTGGACATGGAGACAGAAAAGATGGCTAACTCTTTATTTAGGAGTGGCCTTTGTGGTGGCGCATCACCATCCTTCTCAACGTCTGCGTCTACACGATGTTGGGCAACATGTTTGCTGCCGGCATCACCCCGCTCTTTCGTCTCATAATTGAGGATTTCCACGTCAGCACCAACAGGGTTTCGTCATTATCATCATACGCACTCCTGGCTTTGGGGCTTTCGGTATGGTCATAATCCAATCTTTTTGCATATTGACTTATATGTTAATAATACAGAACCTGTTTGCGGTTGTGGCATCCAAATATATTGGGAAACGGTATACCACACTTATATCGCTAGCTGCATTCACTGCTGTCAACGTATGGACCGTCTACACCCGCTCCTTTGGATCACTTCTCGCAACGCGAGTTGTCGGCGGTCTCTGCGGAGGGGTCATTGAAACGCTTGGCCCAGATTTTGTCGTGCACTTGTTTCAGGAGAAACAACTTGCTTCGGCCATGGTTGTATACGTAGGATTCCTAGCAGGGGGTTCTGCTTTGGGGCCTATCATTGCCGGCCTCCTTGGGTCGGCAACTGGAGAGTGGCAGTGGTACTTCAAGTTCCTGGCCATTCTTTCTGGCATCAATGTGATAACTTGCATCTTGATGCTACCAGAAACTACTGACGATATTCCGAATGACTTCCTCGACAATTCTGGCCAATTGGACTCCAAGAATGATACTGAACAGATCAGAACCGAAAGCGCTACACCAACCTCTCCCCCCAATCTCTTAACAATTTGGGTTTCACGGTCCTTCAAAATGGGAATCTTCGATTTTAAAAGAGATTTGAACGCACTTCAATACTTATATACGCCGTTCACCATGATCTTACAGCCACCAGTCATTGTTACCATCATGATATTCGGCCTGACTATCGGATGGAGCGTCGCTAGCTCAATCATACTTTCAAATGTCTTCCAAGAACCCCCTATGTTATGGAGTTCAAGAGCTGTCGGCTTTTTGAGCATTTCTCCCCTGGTTGGGCTTATCTGTGGCCTCCCAATTGGTGGTGTCCTAGCAGACAAACTATCTTCCCGTTCTGCAAGGCAGTTTTGCGGTATACACGTTCCCGAAAGCCGACTAGTCCTGGTCACCATCGGCGCTGTTCTCAGCCCTCTGGGTGTTTTGATAATCGGAATCACTTTGGGACAACACACGGGATGGGTTGGACAGGCCTTCGGATGGGGACTTTTGTCGCTGGGTCTTACCGCATCCGCAAACATCCTTATCACCTATGCGATCGACTGTCACCCCCTCAGAGCGCCAGATATTGCTTTGCTAGTCAATTTTACCAAAAACCTATTGGCTTTCGGTGTCTCGCTTCGTTCGATGGATTGGTATGCGGAAGATGGTCCTGTGAAACAATTCGGCGTAATGGCTGGAACACTATGGGCATGTTATTTGTTTGTTCTGCCGTTATACTTCTTTGGCGCCAAGCTCCGAGCTCATTCCAGTTTCTTGTGAAGTTCAAGAATGTTTACTGGTGGAATAATGTTCTGTAACCTATTAGGAGATATCCAGGATCTGAAGACGGTATAAAGCTTATTTCCGCTCCCGGCCTTTCCAGGTGTTGTTTGTACCTTCTCCTTTTTGGGAGTGTAGACAGTAATAGATGAAACCAGGTCAATCAAAGCAGACTAAATTGGAGAACTAGTTAGAAGTCAATTTGATAGCGTCGTATCACAATAACGACAACTCTACTTTACATTATTTGATTTATTTGATTATTTATTTGATTTATTCCCCAGGCCTTTCACGACCGTACGTGTATGTAGCCCTGGATATTACACCCTGTATATTACACCATTGAACATGTACACGCCATCGGTGGATCACATCTAGGTTTAAAGCCAACCAGCAGGGGAATTTCTCCCACTACTGTGTACTTTTGATGGAGCCAATAATATTTATGAGATCAACTTGTCCATATTGAATCTCCACAGAAACGGAAACGAAAGGAGTTGTTTTATAGGTCTATGTATGATTATATGTATTTCATCACAGGGACTAGAAGCCATTATTATAGGCGAAGGATCATAAGCAAAGCCTTGATCATCAAAAGGGTAAAATCAAAGAGTGGGTAAGGGAGGCCCACTTTTTGTGAGAGCCTTGGTTTTCCAGACGTTGTATCATTCGTCTCAGGATATACACTCTGTTCCCTACGTTCCCTCCTATGACCGCCGATAACAAATCAATACCTACCTTTCACCCTAGGCAAAAGGATTGGTTTCCCACCCCGCTTCAGCTTGATATCTTTCCCTTTTCCCACGACATCATATTTGTGAAAGTAATACTCTCTAAAGGCCCACAACTTGCCACCATGCCAGAGCAGCCCATGAGCCTTTGGAACAGGATAGCCATGGCTCTTCTCGGTCTTTTCCAGATTGTTGACATCTGACGCATCGGTTGATTGAAAAGGTTTTCCAGCGGGATTATCAGATTAGTTCAAGCAGGGCATGGGTCGTGAGTTCTATGTGGCTGTTTCAAACCCGCTCTATCATCGCTGCAGGTTGATGATTGCCGTCTTGGAAGATTGACCTCAGTGGTTACTCATTGAATGTGAGGAACAGTTTAGTTCAGACACCGTTGTTAGACTCTTTACTGTCCATTGACGATTGAAAACCATAAAATTGTGTATTGCCATTAAAACAATATCGCGACCAAGGGGTGTACAACTTCGGAACCAGTTTATATGCGAAAAGATTAAAAGCGGGAAAAAGGCATAGGCCAGGATCGGCTTGATAAAGCAAAAATATGAGCCCGTTCCCATCAAATAGGTGCCATGGTCTAGTGGTATGACGACACATTGTGGTTGTTTTAATCTGTGTTAGCCCTGGTTCGATTCCGGGTGGCGCCATTCTTTTTTTCCCCAGACGATCCTTTGATCCTTCGATTTTCATAGCTTTGAACTCCTCTAACTCATAACATCACAACTAGCTCACTCTTATATCTAAGAGGTGCCATGGTCTAGTGGTATGACGACACATTGTGGTTGTTTTAATCTGTGTTAGCCCCGGTTCGATTCCGGGTGGCGCCATTACTTTTTTTACATCCTTCGATTTTAGGCTGGGTTTAAACTATAATCCATGTCACAGGTACACATAAAAAGTCTCTTACACAAAGTAGATCCACATCCCACCGGTTCGGCTGTGAATTAAGAAACACCATATGGTAGAAAGGTAATCGGTCCTTGATAGAAGCCTTTTTAAGGAAATCAGTAGGATCATTTAGATACACCTCGAGCGATGTTTTTCTGGCCCAGCCCTGGCTTTATCGAACAACCTGGATGGAAGCTCGAAGTATGATATATGATGATCTATCGGACGTGCGAGGTTCGGTGGGGGATTCTTAGACGATTGTCGTGTTGCCGCCTTGCTGGTATTAGCCGGTAACGATTCTGATTGTGATGTGGGTCTAACAGAAGACGTTGACCTCGAAGGCACTAGTGGCGAGCGTTGAGCTAGGGTTCCCGCTGGCACTGATGACTTTGTGAATGATGGGTGTCCTGCCGATGATCGCCTTTTACTGCCTTCCAATACATACATCCTAAGAAGAAATCTGAAAAGAACACCAGAAAGACACGACAAGGCCGCATAAGTGGCCGACTATTGTTGTAGGTCATACACATAAAAGTCCTCTGCATGTGTAGTTTATGCTTTTGATATCTAAGCCCTAAATTCTAGGTGTAGATTCTAGTGCAGTTCGTTTTTAACCTCGCTTCCTTTCCTCGGTCCTCGTCAAAATAGATTCATAACAACGGCTTTAACTTCGTACAGAAATTCGCGAAGAGCTTCGTGTATAGGTTGCTACCACAGTCAAGAACCTTTAGTAGCAAATTTAGTTGTCCTCTCGTCGAAACGACTAAAGTCTCTCTCTGAGATCCTGAGAAGTCCATGGGTCAAGTAGCAAGTACGACACGTGGGGTGCCGCTATCCGTGCAAATATCGCTCTCGATGGACCATCGGAGATTCCATAGCTTAGGTATTTCTCAGTTTCTCACGTCAAGTTTAGGCGATGGTTCTTTCATAACTTGCACCCGCGCGTGACTCCGGTATCCACGACTACCACATAATCCTCGAACAACTTTGACGTGTGTCTGACAATCTAGATGAGACTCAAGAAGCCGAAGATAGTCACCGTTTAATCAAGTAGGACATCGATTCTCTCGCCACTTATATTGCCAAGTTCGAAAGGGTTCTTTATGAAGCTAGAGACTAGGAGTGGCCAGACGTTACGAAGCTCTCCACTTTCCGTAAAGGCCAAGAATTTACTTTGAACCCCCCTTAGCAATTAAATCTTCCGCGTACGTACCTAGAATTTATTAAGATCGTATAGCAAACCGCCGCGTACAATTTCTTTCACTTCGAACACGTCAACTTTTTTTTGAATACCTACCTCAACAACGATAAAATAGACCTCTCAGCCAATTCAATTCAACTTGGTTCTCTTAATCTAGAACTATGGCTCTCGAACCTGGTGGTATTTGCGACTACGATGCTACCATTGCCAAGCTTCTAATATCATCTAGGGACTAGATATATTGTTTTCGTGGGGGTTATATCACGATCTGCCTCAATCACATGCTATCACATACATTGTCATATTCCAGAGATTGTTTGCTCTTTCCCATTTGGGTTGTTTGTGGTGTTTATATATGTAGGTTAGCTCCCGTGGTCTTACTATGTACATATTTATCCTTCTCTTCTTCTCCCCATCTTTACGTTCCTAGTTTGAATGTACTCTTTCTTTGTTGATTGACTTAGCACATAACATACTTAGCCATATATCTAGGGGCTAAGGATTCTTCTTCTTTTTTTATAGGCTACTAACATATCATGATAGTTGGTTATTCCTCTTCTTTCCTTTGTCATGCTCCACGTATAATGTCAAAGTTTTGACCCACTTATATCAAATAGGTGCCATGGTCTAGTGGTATGACGACACATTGTGGTTGTTTCGAATCTGTGTTAGCCCCGGTTCGATTCCGGGTGGCGCCATTTTTTTTTTTTCGCCAAAGATACCATTTCTATATGGGTTGACCTCTAGTAGCTTATAGTACCATAAATCGCATTAATTCTTATATAATAGGTGCCATGGTCTAGTGGTATGACGACACATTGTGGTTGTATTAATCTGTGTTAGCCCTGGTTCGATTCCGGGTGGCGCCATTTCTTTTTTTTTTTCCCGGATGACCCCTCGAACCTTCGATTTTCATAGGGTTTGAATGAACTACATATAATAATAACTTATAACCGTGCTAAGCTAACACTATAATCCGTGAAGCCTTTTTTACCTGCCCCGGTAGCCCCGATAGCGCACCCTAATCGCCTTTTCCTATGTAGATAGGCACATGTAATCAGAACTAGACCCGCGGTATTCGTTTCGCTTAACGAGAAAGTTCCGGATTCCTATATGATAGTAGAGTAACTATTCTATGCTAAGTGGACCCATTGTAGCACTAAAAAGATAGTAGGAATGTAGGACGGCACCGTCAACTAGGTTGGATACATGGATTTTGCCGTCCCACGGGGATCACGTATGCACAATTCCGAGCCGCACTAGGGTCATGTGCTGTGCGACGGAGGGGCTTACTGCCGGTGCTGCTGTGGTACTGCAGAAGGGTTGGGAGTAACAGTGCTTGCACAGCGCGGAGAAGCCGTCGAGCCCACTTGGACACGCTTTCAGATGAGGGTGAGCCATGAACGGCCATTTTCAACCCGAACAAGGCGTATGGAACCCCCCCTAGTCTAAATTATTGGGGTCCGGGAGACCGAGTTATATCAGAAGGCTTTCGCGGGGATTAGGGCAATGCAAGCCCGTAATACAATACAATACAACACAACATCATGTGTAAATAAAGGTGAAAAACAGTACGTATTGATCTGTAATTCTCCTCATACACATCACGTTTGAAATCCTTCCATGGCGGCTTCCGCCACCGCGCGCCAGTGGGCCACGCGGTCCTGTGCCTGGCCTCGCGGGCACACCTCGACAATAGCTCGAATGTGATTGACTGCCGTCTGCATCATCTCCTGCTTTGCATTCAGTTGAGTCTGCTTCAAAATATGCTCTGCCCCCTTTTCGCGACACGTTTGCTCAAACAGTTGCTCCATGCGGGTCTGCTCTGCCTTATCGTCAGGGTCCCATTTCGTGTTCCACAGGAATGCTCGCGGGGGGTTCCACCTCGGGCCGGGAACCACCCCGCTGAACTCCCAGTCTAGGACCGCGGTGATTGGACACCCCGGCTGGTCCGGGTCGCACATGATATTGGCAAAATGCAGGTCTTTGTGTGCCATGATGTAGGCGACGCTGTTGAGCTCTGTCTGGTTGTCTTGCCGCTGCAGTTGCGTCATGAACTCGCGGATCCGAGGGATCAAGTCGCGGTAGGGCTCCAGTGAGGGATGGATCTCGATCGCGTGGACATACCGCTCGAGGCAACCGTTCGTATAGACAGTGTAGCTAGAGAACCCCTCGGCTGGTATGGGATCGAGACTTTCGAGCGTCTCCGTACTTTTGACTCCAGCCGAGGCGGACCAGTACTTGTCCAGGTCCGACGTCTGCCAAAAGTTTTCGTCGATAGGTGGTCCGAAGGCAATCTCGCCCGTCGGTGTCCGGGTCAGCCCGCCCACGTACCCCTCGCGCCAGGGTTGCGCATGCAGCTCGATCAGATAATCCGTCAGTTGGTGGACCATCTTCGTCTTGACCTCATCGGATAGCGTTGCATAGATCTGATCGACGCTGATGCCGGACGCTTTCTCGAGTAGTGTGAACTCATGTCCGATCGCATTATTCTCCGTCGCATCGTACCGGATGATAGCTGGTACGGGGATGGAGGTATGCTTGCTGATCCAGGTCATGACGCCCACTTCGTTGCGTGTCTTGATGACAGGTAGCTGCCGTCCAGAGACACGCAGCACGAGCGTAACGGTTCCATCTTTGTTTTCTCGTGCTGCGATACCTTGTACGGAAGCGAAATGGATGAGATAGATGGAATGAAAGGCGGCATTAACCTGCAGCGGCTCGATGGAGCTTGGCGCAGGGAGATCCAATGATAGGATCAACGAGGTGATAGTTTCCGCGCTCAAGGCAGGAGGCAGATAACTATCAGGGGTGTCCATTGTGAGGATTTAGAAAGTCTTTGAGAGGACAAGAAAAGATTATTGAAAACAAAGATGACGAGGCCTCTCAAGCGGAAGATATAAGTTTGGTTGCCTAGGGTCAAGGAGTGTGTAATTTATATTTTGTATTTCCAAGTTAACTATAATTTTGTATATTATTAACGACGTGCTGGCCATGCATATAAACTAGTGTCTTGGAGACAGGGAGATAGCAAATTGCCTTATCAGCGCTCTCAGGTTGTCAACTGTCAGTCAATTGACTAATCATTTAGAGATATCACCCCTCTTTGCGGCCATGACAATGACACAATTCAGGCGACAGTTGCTCGATGCGCCGCGCAGATCGTACTTGGGTTCTCTTCAGTCTGTTCGTTCTTGTTGCCAACTTGGGGTGATCAGTGCATTCAGTGCATTCAGTGGAGATTTTGGTATTACACAGCAACTGTGCCATTTCTCTCCATGCAACCCCGTTATTTTTCGAGAAAGCGAAGAAACAAGTTGGAGCTCCAAACCTTGCGGTATACTTGTTTGGCCTTCAGGCACCTTTCTGTGGGCTATGGGCTGTCGGATTCAAGTCAATGGACTGAGAGCTATTGGTCTCTTGCATGGGTACAGGGTCCAAAGAATCTACTTTCGGATCAGTACACCCAGCAACACCATAGAGCAAATCGTCCATTACATCACTGATCGGAGTGGACTGAATAGACGACGAATTATTCGCCTGCTATGCTCTTGGTCACTGAGGTATCTGGAAACAATACTCTTGATCAAACAAAGCCGGGTAGATATTAGTATGGAGCATTGAATTCAAGTGACCCTTTATGTTCCAACTATATTGAGAAGTTGGCCAAACCTCCAAATGGTGTCAGACTATCCGATGAAATGCATACTTTGCAAGTACCTGATTCACAACTTTTTCTCTTTAAAATGTCTGCTTTGGTTCTTTCCGCGGCCACTGTCATCTTCCTCCCCTCACTCTGTCCTTTCTTCTCCTCCCTTCCTCCTCTTTCTCCTCCCCTCATCTCCTTTCTGCCTTCGAGGGTAATTTTTCCTAACCTTGAGGTTCTTCAGTATCTGTGAAAGCTTCGATTTTTGAGCCTGGAACGTCCGCCTCCCATGGATAAGATGACCTCCCGGATTAGCTGCAAGTAGGAACATGTCCCAACAGAATCTTTACAGTACCCTTTCGCAGTCTTGAATGCCAGGGTATTCATATTACCCAGAAACGGCAAGTACAGGAAACAAACAAGTCTACAGAAACAGGATTCTGGGGATCCAAAAACTTATTAATTTAAGCTACTCTATAGTTATCCATGGATTTTGAAAATCCAGGTAGCCTAGAAAGGCAAAGTGAGTCGATGGCGTCGGGCCAAGACCCTCAGAATATCAACCCCTTTACTTCGAAGATTGCAACCCAGTACCGGAATCAGCCTATCTCCACTCGTTCAGTAGACATTAATTCACTTAGCCGTCTGTCTGTCCCTTCCGATCTTTGATTATCGGTTGAGAGCTTCGAGAAGGAAGAAGCCACTGTCTCCGTCTGTGATAGACGCGTATGATGAGGCTCTTTATACGAAATCATAGGAAGTGGAGCCAGTTCATCATTTGGTTGATTTGTAACAGGCAACCCCTGAGTTTCTTTCTGGCGACATTTCCGCCGATAGAAGATGAGCGCGCCAATAGCGACAGCTACCAACAAAACACCTAAAGGAACACCAAGGCCGATTCCAATTTTACTCGTCTTCGACATGCCATGGCTAGACTTAGGAATTGGCGTAGTCGTTGGGTATGATGTAGACTCGACACTAGCTGAGGTAGCGAGAGACGTGGAAGTTGCTTTCGTGGCGCTTGTAGACGTGGATGACGATGCATTGATGAAATTGTACGAGACCGGTGATGGATCATCTGTGTATCTTTTCGATACCCCAAATAGAATACTTGTAATATTATCACCATATGACTCGCCTTCCGTAGTGAACGGCTGGAGCATGAAGCTACAGCCAGACTCTACATAGTTTTTGCGAGTCGCTATCCACACGTAGCTATAATTGTTGGTTGTTCTCTCTAATGGGAATAGTCAGATTATAGGTAAAAAGCAAGAAGACAAGTCCAATAGATAGCCCAACCTTCTAGAGCATGGTTATTACTGCCACAGGTCTCGTAAATTGAAACCAGAGGAGCGATAACATCCCAGGTTACATTCACCAGGTCTGCCACTCTGAAAAGACTTTCGGCTTCTGTTGGAAATGTGAAATTTCCTGCCATACTGCACCTAGGAACATCAAGCTGGAATATCTGTTTGGTGCGGGTGGCGGCCGTTTTCCGGGGGAAGGGAGTTGTGACAGCAAGGCAAATTTCGTAGAAGTGAGAAAGTGAGGTCGCAAAAAAAAAAAAGGGGGGGGGGGGATGCTATCTCTCTAGTAACCAGGATTAAAGGATCCCTGCTATGTAATTAGATAACACCTTTGACCGGCATAAGACTAGAGAGTATTTGGAGTAGTTCTTGCAAACCCTATCTAGTGTAGGATGCTAATGCATACTATTGGTCCACATTGTGGGAACAATGGGTTAAACGGAGTACTCTGTACTCATTTATACCATATCACAACTCAAAGGCGAACAAAGGCGGGGAGAGGTTAGGAATCAAGACATAGAGAACATGAAGAGAAGTAAGCAAGATGCTATTCCAAGGTTGCGGCGCTTCTGGACACCTGAGGTGGCCCATGACATCCCCTTCCTATTCAGGACTAGTTCGAGTTAGCCCCAATGCTTAGCCACATGGCCGATTTTATGTCTCAGTTTCGAATTTCATTTCGACTTTCCTAAAGCTAACTTCTCCATACTCTAGTTATAATCTTTTGCAGCGCACATGAATAATGGTTTAGCCTATTCGGATTCGACTTTATAACTATGTGTAAATTTTGCCAAAGCTTGCTAACTAAGTAGTACTCTAGGTTCTCACCTTTGACGACGCGAAAGAATCTTCCCATAGTTGCGCTACTATCGTAGCTTGTGAGATTTGAATAGAGTTAGTCCTTTCTAGCTTATCATGAGTTAAGTTGTGTTTTTGGAATAGACACCAGAGGAATCTGAGTGGGTGTCGGGAATACTCTTCATCAGGACTGACTTCGATGCTTTTATATCTGCCTTGGCGAGGACCGTGTTTCTTGCAATGTTTATTGGGAGTGTGCCTTGGTTATATATGAATGATCCAATACATTATTTTTTTGCAAAGCAGACGGTCAAGAGGCACTTGAAAAGTTTTAAAACAAATTGAATTCTAAGAACATACAAAGGACCCGAGGATCTATCTCACACGACTTTAGTCTCATACCTCGATGTGTGCAGTCTCAACCATTGGCTTTTCAATGCTCCCAGTATTCAAAGTTCGATGGTACCCGGGAAGAACGGGATAACCTCTAGTTTCCCAAACACCTCCAGTAATTCCACCTCTCGAAAAGAGGTGATCGACATCCTCCAGCTCCAGGCCTTTGGTCTCGGGAAAGAAGAAAAAGACCATAGGAATCTTAGTCCAGTCAGCATCATAAAACATAGAAATTAGGTTCAGAATCGGGGTCATACCCAGGCAAAACAGAAGCAGGCGAAGATGATAAATGTTTTCCATCCAATATTGTCAATTGCGGTTGGCGTGATTTGGACGACAATGACTGTAACGGTTAGCGACGCCAGTTACTTCGTATAAAGACAGTCAACTTACAAACACACATCCAATTGACGAAGCCACCAAAAGCTTGAGCTCTAGCTCGAATACGAGTAGTCGAGATTTCAGAAGGATAGAACCTTGCTATTTGTTAGTAGTGGCACACAAACACAGTAAAGATAAGAAAGACTAACCAGGGAACTGGCAGATAACCAATGCCAAGGAACAGCTGGAATATAAAAACAAATACTGTAGCTGCATATGCACATGGCGCAGTGCCGATTGATAATAGAATAGCAGTCATCACGAAACAGAAACAGAGACCAGCGGCGGACACCATGAGTGATACCCGCCGGCCGAATTTATCCATACTCCACAAGGGGATAACGGAGCCAACAAGGTACATGAGAGAGGTGCAGCCGCCGAGCACCAGGGATAGATTGCGAGATAGATTCATAGCATTCTAGGTTGAATTGTTATTAATTCACTTGTTCGGCTGGAAATGGGTGTAGGGAGCATACCTGGTAGACAACGGGGGCATAGTAATTGATCATGTTAGAGCCTAGTATATGTTAATACGTTGATTTTCCCACAGAAGCTGAATCGGTGTTGATCACCTGTAAACTGCTGCTGGATATTGACAACAGCAGCCAAGATCATGCGTCGAAGATTTCCCATTTGGCCACCCGACCATAGCTCCTTGTACTTGAAGGGTCCGCCAGCAGACTCAATCTCGATAGACGATTCGATTTGATGACGTAGAAGAACAACTTCAGGATTGGACTCATCAGCGGGTTGATCCAGTTGTAGACGTGCCAGGACCGACGCTGCCTCATCACTGCGATCCTGTTCACACAACCAGCGTGGGGAATCAGGCAAAGGAATCATCTGCAAAACTAGGCAGACGGCAAAGAAAGCCTGGAAACTGATTGGGAACCGCCATTGAACGGGGGTGTCCACGAAGCTCAGTCCATAGTCCAGCCAGTATGCGATACAGAGACCGAGAATTGTAACGGTGCCTTGGGCAGAGAGCAACATGCCACGCTGCTCTGGACGAGCTAGCTCGGATTGATAGGCTGGAACGGTACTGCTGTTGATTCCGTTACCAAGGCCAGTGACAATTCGACCAACGAGGAATTGAGGGACGGTATAGGAGCTGCCGAGGATGACTGTTCCTATGATCATTATCGAACCACCGGCGATAATCATCTTGCGGCGACCAAACTTGTGTCCAATAACGAGACTGAGGAGACAGCCGACTGCACAGCCGATATCGTAGATCGAAGTTAGGAGGCCCTGCATTGTGCTGTCGGGATTGTTGAATGTTTGCCCAAATTGATTGTTCGCGCCAATTAGGCCGCTCATAACGCCCTGGTCATATCCCAGGAGGAGAAAGGCCTGACAGCTTGCAGCCGTCACAGCCCAGTGTAGGTATCTTCCGCGCAGAATCATATTGGGCTTGGATCGTTGGGGAAACTGGACAGATGCTGAGATCCGGGGCCCCAGGTCCTTTTCTCTACATATCTAACCATTTCAACCCCATAGCATCTCGGTTCAATATTGTCCGAGAAGGATGGGCTGTTCGGTTTAATGCCACCCGGGGCCGTCATTGATATTCACCTGCGGGACGAAACAGGACTAGCGCAGAGTTTTCCCCGCAAGGTCTTCCCCACACGCCAGCGAATCCTTTGCGCGGTTGGAGGGATAAGGGGATAGTCTGAAGAATGCCATTGACGCCTTATGATGAGATCCTTAGTTTAATCAAAGGATATCATAGAAGCCAACAATGCGAGTCACAAAGACTTCATTTTTATGCTTTCCCTCTTCTAAGGGGCACCATCCATCCTTTGTGGTTTGAATAGGTATAGACTTAATAAAGGATTAAGGACGAAAACTGTATTGCTGGAGTCGAGTCACTGAAAATGATTGTTTCAGTCTTTGATGTCCCATAATACACTACATAGGTACACCGGGAAAATCAATGATTGTATAATTATTAGTTCCTCGATGTTTTAGAATATATAGAATCTTAAACTCAAGGCATCGTTACAACTTTCAAGAGCGAGGCTCTGAAAGTGATTCTACCTACGAAGAGCGAGGAATCACATAACTGAACATCACTATCTTTTACTTTTTAAATATTAAAAATAAAGCTGGCCTCTAAGCCCGAAACCTGCCTGAAACCTGCTCTGAACCAATTAATGAACATCGACTCGACTGCGTCATCGAGGCTCAGCGCATACCGCTAACCCGAAATAGGCTTCATGTTACGCCTCACATCAGCAACATCAATATAACCTTGGAAGATACCCCCAGGCATTTCTTTGCAGCTATCTCTTTGGACCAAAGCGGTCTTGTTCCGTTACCGGTGACAATCTAAAAATGACCTTGACCGACCGAATTATTCATTCCATCTATGGGCTCCCACCTCCGACCAGCGGCGGACGCAAAGAGCCAATGCAGGTGCTTGCCGTCGGGATCTCAAGAAGCGGAACCGACAGTCTCCGCGAAGCATTGCATATCTTGGGATTTAATCATACCCACCACGGTTTTGATACAATCCTTCCCCCTTCATCTTTGGAAGGGATATACCGACTTTTGCAAAAGAAATATACCACAATCCCCGAAGCCGACAAGGTCAAGAAACTGACGGCGAAAGACTTTGATTCAATCCTACGAAATAGTGTGGGCGTCAGCGATTTATTCGCAGCAGAGTTCGCGCCCGAACTCATCGAAGCCTACCCTAACGCAAAAGTCATCCTTAATGTCCGACAGGACCTTGACAGCTGGTACCGTAGCATGCAAAACACCATGGGATATTTCGACAAGAACCCTATTGATTGGGACTGGTGCAAATCATGGTTCAGCGCAGATCTTTTCTGGATTCGCCAAACAATGTCGAGGACCATGATGCCCCGATTCTTCAGAGGGAGTTTCGAATCGAACGGGAAGTGGGTCTATGAGGAGCATGTTGCAATGGTCAGAGGCCTAGGCTTACCAGATGATCGACTTCTCGAATGGTCTGTTGAAGATGGTTGGGAGCCTCTTTGTCGATTCCTGGGCAAGCCAGTGCCTGACATTCCGTTTCCCAATGGGAATCCTCCGAAGGCATGGGCAGAACGGATTGGCAAGACAATGGAGGCTCATCATAAGCGAGCAGTAAGAAATATGCTTGTTTTTGGGGCTTTGACCTTTATAATTCCTGTGAGTTTGTGCACATATTTGGTAGGAATATTTTGATGGAAGCAGTGAATCGATACACGTTTTTTCCCATTTTTATATATTTCTCGACTAGTTACAGTTGACTATATCTCTGTCGCCCACGGTGAAACTGCTCTATTTTCCAAATACATGCCTGAGAGAGTCTCATGTGGTTTCATAGTCCTGGCTCACAGTATGGTCATCTCGGCATCCCACAATGTTATTCATGAGATACTTACAACAATCCTTTATACTACATCAAGAAAATAGGCTTGATGCGTATTCTAATAGATCGATTCTTGCCGAAGCAGACATGGCCCTGACAGCTGCTGTGAAGTAAGGGATATCGACACCCTTAAAAGAACAACTTCTCCCATGAACGCCAATAGTCACCGTGCCAATGTCATCGTCGCCCGCAATGGCCTCGTGAATTAACATTTCTTTGTCAACTGACCCGAGGACCGTAGTGTTGGTGATAGACTTTCCCAGAAAGAGATAGGGCAGATCGACCCAACCCAGGTCTGAGCCACCCAAGGTGAGATTGAAAGTCACATGTCCCTAAACGTGTCAGCCATACTTATATCCTAGGGTATGGGATGACATACCAGCTCGACAACGAAGGGACTCGGATTGCGCACAGAGATTGTAGCATTGAAATTATACCCATCAACGGGAGGATCCAGGAGTTCCATCTTGGTAACGTTGAATGCGCCTTCGGCATTCATGAAGTCTGCGAGTTTTAGAAATAGTTACTCCCAGCGGGGCAGTTAGTATGACATGTCTCACCTGTGACATTATAGCCTACAACGACATGTTAGTTCGTTTCATGGTAGGCAGGGAAAGGACTTACTCACTACCCACATGCATTATTTTATGAATGCTCAAATGAGCAGTCGGTAGAGCACCATATTTCAAATTCGGCGAACCTTCGATCAAAATGGAAGAGCTTTTGTTAGATGCAGCTGCAGTAGTCAATCGCGACAGACAATCGACACAAGACAAATTCATATCTTCGTCTATTTCAAGAGTGGCTCCACTGCCAAATGCAAACTTTGGCACAGGGAATACTGTAAAAACCTCGTCGGTGTCTTTGAGACGACACGTGGCATTGAATGCATCCATATGGCCACTACCACTGAATCCACCTCCAACTTTCAGTGTTTTCTTTTGTTTAATATGGAAGGCAGTAGGCCGGGGGTTGGTAATCTCGAGGCCATCGGTGTCATACTCGTATTTGTTGATATAGTCATTCGCGAAATTGGGAATCCCGACATAAAGGCTGAGGAACAGTCAGTATCAACAGTATCATCTTCCATGATAAAACTCACAGTGGTAGAATGATGACTAGGACAGAGATGCAGAATGCGATTAAATAAGCCCACCAGAACCTCTTCATATGTGCCTTGAATCGGCCCCAAAAGGTCGGCTTTGCTGGGGTTGGTAGCACCTCGTCTGCCTCAGAGGTGCTTGAGATGTCAGATTTTGACATGATGGGCGCAATAATGTTGATGAGTGCCAAAATATTCGCTTTCACCCTAGGTCATGGACGGTGAAATTCCGGTGGATGGCTGTATGACAACTGCTTCCCATGCTGTAGCGTGTGGAGGTAGATGTAGACCGAGAAGAAAAATAAAACGGGGTCCGGGTGAAGCAATTTCATAAACTAGTCGTCGTTTGGGGTGCTGTTATACCCATGTCGATCAGACCCGCCTTTCACATGACAGAGAGATATGCGATTCATAACAAACGTCTTTGCGCAATCTCGGTAATTAATGAATTAATGTCATAACATTTCTTTCAGGATCAAAGGTTATTTGATTGTAGGTTCAAGGACTTAGGTTCAGTATATGAGTGTTGGAAGACAAGGCTCAAGGCAAAGAAACCTGGGATGTCTTGGTACCAAAAGTGGTCAAAATGACCAATCAACAGCTTCAATAGCTAATCGGCTTGCCTCAAAAATGGGGCTAGGCTCTCGTACTTCTATACCGAATACGTGATCAACACGATGGTGTTTGATAAATTGCAGATCATGCACGGAATAGGGTGATCGGCCGAGATAGGCCTCGGCTGTGGATTGAAGCATCTATAAAATACCTAAAAACGCCGATTACCCCGGGGCTAAAGTCGAGCGAGCAACCGGTTCAGAAAGGGTTCGGGTGTTCTCTAGTATTGTCTATTTTTAGCAGAGCGATATCCAATTCGGAAGTTGATTGAAAGTACAGTAAACCCCTTATAACGAACCCGAACAGGTGCTTGAATTAATTTGCCATACAAAATCCGTTAAAACCTCTTTACTAGGAACTTCATTTACCTCTCTTCCCTATACAAATTTTGTTATATCGAGGTTTAGTCAGCCGGGTTAACCAATGATCCCCCACCTCGTAGAAGCTCGGTCCACCTCTCGGACGGTCGCTCTCGAATCACCGGTGACTCGAGCCCTTTTGGTCGGGTAAAAAGGTATTACGCTTGAGGGAAATGTAATAGGTTCCTAAGAGCAAGGAAAATAGGAGGGTGGACGTATAACGATATTAGGACGTTTCTAGAACCTAAATTTGTAGATCTATATATCGTATATGGCACCTTAATTAAACGACCTGGATATAACGAACTTTTTGCTGTGTCTGGTTCATTATAGCGGTGGCTTACTATACGAGAAAAGGCAAGGACCACGCTAGCTGGAAAGGGTCTAGAACGTGTTGTCCTTTCAGTGTTGTCGTGTTGTCCACGGGCTTATTTCCGTTCCCTTTCGTCTTGATTCTTCCATTTTATCAAATTAATGCTCCTACCGTGAAAGTAATTAATATATTTCTCGCTTTTGTACATTATTGCCCACATCATGCTCCCACAGCACTCGATTCCACCCAAAGAAGGTAGGTTTGCTCCGTCACATCCGTGGCCCAAAGTCAAGACACGACGAAAACGCATGCTTTTGCGGATCACTCGCTTCATGCTTGCGGTAGTAGCTGGGTGGTTAGTTGTATCATTTCTGCTCTTCAAATCGCCAGCTTCAGACGCAAAGAGTCTGCGATCGACTTCTAGCTTGGTCACGGACAGGCTTTTGAAAACCTGGCCCACTGATACCAGGACTGTGGAATTACCGGTACATGACTCAACAACGCAAGAGGCGCTTGATGTGCAATCCATTGTGAAAAGTCCAGCAGAATTGCCGCAAAATGTAAAGCCTGCGACAGGGAAAGACGACGAGTCAGCTGAATCATTATCAAATAATGTTGAACATACCAACCAGAACATGAATTCAAAGAATCTGGAGCCTAATCTCGTTGACACTGCTCTGGACTCTCTTCTATCGACAATTTCTAATAAGCTATATCTTCAAGAGCTCATCCAGCCAGTGATCGGCACAGGTGAGAAGAAGCTGCACGAGCTTGCCTTGCGCACACGCGCATATAAAAAGTTCTTTGAGCTTTGGGAGAATGTCCACCTCGTCAAGAGCGATGATTATGTTTACGTGCGAAATGATATTGTCACCCACATCCGCGAGAGGTTCAACGAGCCAACATTCCCTGAAGCGCTGCACAAATACGAAACTTACCGCCACTTTATCACTAAGCTCTCCGCCCTGTTGTTTCCGTGGACAAGCCCATACTTTGCAGACCATATGAGTTTGCACATCTCGTCGCTCCATGGAGGCCGGGGAATCGTGACAACGGCAGGCAATAACCATGCACCTTTTCTACTGGCCGCCATTCCTTCCTTTCGCCTCCTGGGTTGCGATCTTCCCGTCGAGATAATGTATCTCGGTGAGAGCGATTTGAGTGAAGACTTCCGCACGAAGCTCGATGCACTGCCAGGCGTCACAACGCGCGACCTCTCCGCAATGGTTAGCGACGAAGGTTGGCGGCTGAACGGATGGGCTGGTAAGCCCTTTGCTATACTTTTCTCATCTTTCCGTGAAGTCGTGTTCATCGATGCCGATTCGTTGTTCTTCGTTAACCCCGAGTTACTATTTGATGACCCGGATTACGGGCGCACGGGCGCACTTTTCTTCAGAGATAGAAAGATCCTTCCTGAGAGTAAGAAGGAATGGCTGCAGAAGATCTTGCCAAAGCCGATTTCGCAATCTGTGCAGGAAAGCAGAATGTGGACCGGGGAGAGCGGGCATGTTCAAGAGTCGGGGGTTGTTGTTGTAGACAAGTGGAAGCACTTTGTCGCATTGTTGCTCGTATGCAGAATGAACGGACCCGAGAGGGATCGTAACGGCGTGGACACTGTAGGGACCTACGATATGGTATACGGTTCGTTCTGGCCCTGTACATATCTTTCCAGGTCGCCAATTTATTTGCTAATCCCTGGAGCTACACAGGTGACAAGGAAACCTTTTGGATCGGATGGGAACTCGCTGGTGACACTTCCTATGCCTTCCATTCGGGCGGATCTGGAGTCATGGGCATAGTCCAAACACCTGATAACTTCAACGCCACTGACCAACAGCCTGGATCGACCTTTGGCACGGGGACTGAAGCGGCCCCAACGAAAAAAGAACGCAAAATGGCGCCTGGTCATGAGTCTGATCTAACCATATGTGCCCCCCAACTTCTTCATTTGGACCGCGAGAAGCGCCCTTTGTGGTTCAATGGCTGGCTGTACGAGAATAAATATGCGGGGAGTAAGCGGGTTCTCGGAACATTTGAAGCGTTCATGCAGGAGCCAAGTGAATCATTGGATCGAGCACCATGGCAACTAGAGGAGAGCAATCTCTGTTGCTTGTCAAATTCTGTGGCGAAGGACTTCACAAGGCAGGAGACCGAATGGCTGGGGGTGTTGATTGAGATGGCAAGGACGGTGGATAGCTAGTCGAAGAATATATCCATCACTGGATTGACTATTCTCTAGCGTACACGTAAAGGTCATGTAAACAACTTTGGAGGTTCCTAAAAAAGACCCACCAAAACATCTTTCTTCCTCCCACGCTCCTCCACAACTCTTCTTCCAAGAGGGCTTTTCCAAGCCTCTTTCCAAACCTCTTCCTAAAGCGTATTTTTGCCGTCCTTTTTCGCACCATGGCCGAAACCTCGGCCGATGCGCCCCCTCCTCCACCGCCGCCTCCTCCCAAAAGTAACAAGGAGAAGAAAAGGGAATGGCACGCTGCCACCAAGAAGGGGAAGCGACAGCGCAAGAAGGCCCGCCGTACCCGCATTGATGCCATTTTCAATGCCTTGTTGGACCATTACAATGCAATAGTAAAAGTCTCTTGATTTATCCTATTTGAAAAAGTCGGCATAGTGTCTTCCCCATGAGCTTCAAGCTGACACTATCTCTAGGGCAGTGCGAACCCACCTGCTACTGGCGGTGACACCATTCGTGTTCTAAGAGAAATAGCTGAGGTGAGTATCCTGAATGGAATGCGTGTCCTATTAGAAATCCGCTCAGACTAACATTGTATATGCTCATAGGTACTGGAGGAGGAGCGAAACCCACACACCCACGCACGTGAAGGAATAGGCGGTACATGGAGAAGGTGAAGGGAGGGTCATCGTATAATTACGGGGCTCTTTTTCTGTGTTTCGTTTTCGTCCCCTTCCACTCAAGTATCACTCTTCTAATAAACAAACAACTTATCCTTTGGAAAATATGCACAGTGTCTACTGGGAACAGCAATATTCAAATCTAGGTACAGAGTGATGCACTTAGCTAATAACATAAATGTTCATGTGTAAATTTATATTCACTACATCAAGACTGAGAAATGTATTCCAATAACACCACCGACCGAAGAGATATGAAGTTATTTCGATCATGCGATGTGACGGAATTTACCTGGGTAGGTAATTGATGTTTGGTTCTGCCATACTGTACAGTCGATAGATATTGAGTCTGAAGCTTGTATAGACAGCCTATTTGCACATACTGTTACCTAAGATAAGTTCTAGTGATGTGGAACACCACGCCCGCGAGTTCTACAAAACTTGCCTATCTGCTGTCATGGGATACCGAAAGAAACACCAGGCCCCCAAGTTGCTTGGTGGCCTTCGCCCAAGACTGCCGAAGCAATGTCATGGACAATGTAATCAATTAGACTATCATCCCCATAGGAAGTATGCTTCCGATATGCGAAAATCCTCAAGGACAAAGTCCCAGACAGCAGTGAGCTCGAGGTTCTCGCGGTGATACACGGTCTCCCGTAGATCACACAAGGCCTGTTTGGTACAAGATAATGTCAGCAGTTGTTGTAGATCCAGGCAGAGGGGGTGTGTGGTATTGGTAGGACTTACGCGAAAGGTGTGAGGAGAGAAGGAGAGATGGGGGGTTTTATAGGAGTGCATGCGGCCAATGACATGCTGCCAACTCCCAATTAGGCTTTGTCCTCCTAATAAAAGTGGGGTTATTTTTTCCCGATTTGGCCTAGTTCTAGCTTTATTTGAGCCGCACTCAATGTTGGACCTTGGGAGTGCTTTCCTTCTGTCAACATTCCTGCAATAATTTTGTCTCTTCTATTTTCGTCACTAGAATACTGGGATGCCTCTATTGTAAAGACATGAAAAAAGCCAACATGGCAGCTAGACTAAGAAAAAGCAGTTATCCACCCACAAGTGCTATTCTTTCTCTTCATACAATAGTGCTGGACAAAACTTCCACGGCAAAAACAGTATTTCTGCCACGTAATTCAGTAAAAGAAAATTCACACGGGCTCTGAAATGAATAATCCCGCCGCTGGAGTGGCCCCTCCCCCCACCGCCTCGAACGACCGAACGTCAAGTCCATTGGAGCATGACAGAACTGGGACTCTTTATTCTGAGTAGAGATATACATACCCATCGTCTCCAAGGCCGCAGCGCGACGGCGCTTGCACAACCCACGCTTGGGGCCTTCATCTGGTGACAGATCATTTATTGCTATATTTTATGTGACGTAACTTACAGCAGCTAGTTTCTTTTCTTGCTGGTGTAATAGACGCCATACCACAGCAAACGTGGCATTGTGAGTGGCCTTCTTTTAGAGATACTATCAGTATCCACCTCTCACCAAGTCAACCGTTACCAAAGGAAGACTGTTTCCTGTGGCAGAAGATATCTCTCCATACCATTGAGCCTACTTGGACTTTCTCATCCTTTTTTCTTGCGAGGTAGGGCCGGTTTGTAGGTTTTTGGTTTGGGGGAGGAGCGGGAGGAGGGGAGGGGGTGGTGGAAGGCCAGTTGCCGAGGATACAATGGTGGCTATTTTATTTGCTTAAAAATAAAGATAGGTTGAAGTGAAAGATGGGACTTGACTTTGGCGGTTCGACGTGAGACCCAGGCCAGCCAAACTAGAGAAAGAGACTAGTCCTAATTCCTGTTCATTATTCTACACCGCGTAGCCTATGTACTGCTCCATTATCTTTAGCAAAGAGTCCCTTTTCTCAAAGTCAACATGGCAGGATCCTCCACTCAGCCAAGGCTATTTCAGAATAGATTAATATAATACCTACGATGGATCCAACACTAGGCATCTACATGGATCACAAGTCAAACACCAGAGACAATATCTGGGAATTATCGATTTCAAGGATGTAGATAATAATTTTATGAGACAAAGACGAAATGTTTAAGAAAATCAAGGGATCAAAGGAAATCGCTGCGCAAAGCTCTCATCCATGCATAAGTTCGCTTGTAAAAAGAAGACAAATCAAGACACCAAAAGAATTAATAACACATGTTGGTCGAATGAACCCTATGTCCACACCTCAGACGAAATACAGAAAACGGAATGGTGTAAAAATAGATAGATCATTCAAAGAACTCCCGATAGAACGGCTTCAGTGGCTGCATACCTGTTAGTTGTGTCCATTTAAAATATCGAGTTGATTATCACTTACCAGAATTGATGTATGGACGCTTGGCGTCCAGGTTGACATCGAACCGCCTTTCGAGCTCCTGCTTGACGGTCTTCTTCGAGACCTTCATCAAGTCTGCAGTGGACAAGATCTTACGGATTTCTTCAAGAATCTCATCATCAGGAGGGAGATGGCTGAGGTCTTCCATACCAAAGTTGCTCATCATTTCAGACGGGGCAGCTGAGTAACGAGCGCCACCGCCTCCGAGAGGTAAGTCGAGTTGCGAGACCGGGCCCGAGCCAGTATGGTATCCATACTCTGATTGCGGGAAGGGAGGTAGTCTGGTGCCGTAGGAGTGTGCAGAGAATTCTGATCGGTCGTCGCGTGAAGTCTGGGATTCCCACAGCTCGGCTTGGTAGTCTTCCCAGATTTTCTTGGGAATGGAGTCGGGGTCGAATTTGCCTTCGTCGGAAATAACAACCTTGCGACCTTTCTCTCCGGTGATAACACGGGTGTTACCCCAGGAGAAGTCGTCCATATGCCAGAAGGAGTACAGTGGCAGAGCAAGGGAGAAAATGGGAATGGCTAGGAGGTAGATCAACATCCAGCCAATCATTTCCCACTTGCGCCTAACGAGGAAGATCAAGGCCTGTAGACCGTAGATAACACCAAGAAGAATAAAAGAGGTGATGGGCAGCACATCTGGCTGAGTCACACACCAGTAGATCAGGTAAGCGATATAGGCAACTGTGACTGGCTGAATGACTGTCATGAGCAAATCGATAAGCACAATGAATCGCATACTGAAACAGCAGAAACCACACAGTTGTTGCAGCGGAATCAATTCCATCAAGTTGTGAACCGTAGAATTGATCCATCGGCGACGCTGGGAAAGGAAGACAGCAAAGCTTTCCGGTGCAACTGTCCAGGCATGGCAACGGAAGATGTACTTTGTCTTGAACTTTGGGTGATGCTTGATAAGAAGTGTCGTCAAGTAGCGATCTTCACCAAGGTGCAGCAGATTCTTCATGTGGAGGGTATCGACGCGTATTTCCGAGTAGGCGTCGACAACAGCCTTACTGACAAAGAGAGGCGTTCCGTTCTCCGCTGTGCGGATACGATACATAGTGAAACAACCGGGCAAGCAAGTGACGGATCCAAACAGACTCTCGAATGCCTTGGTCAGGTTGTGAGAGATGTAGTATTCATAAACCTGGATCATTGTCACCATGGAGGTCTTGGCGTTAGACAAAGACGTCTCTCCACAGGCGCCAATAAGACGCGTATCAGAGAGGAATGCCGAAACAAACCGTGTTGCTGCATCTGGCGCCACCATGGTATCAGCGTCGACCTGCAAAATATACTCGTAGAATTGCGGATTGACGCCAATAATGTTTCGGATGTGATGATGCATCTCAAGCTCCATGGGGCTCATGGGCAGGTTATAGTGAACACGGTTGAGGAAGCGCATAAGAACCATCTGGGAATCACGTTTTCCACGATTACCAGGACGGGACACTTCAGAAGGCTTGCCAACCTTTACAACAACCAGGAAAGGAACGATATGGCCCTGGACTTCGTATAGACCAGAATAGAGCTTTGCCATGTTATGTTGCTTCATACCCTCACCCAGACTCTCGAAGCTGAGCGGTTCAGGATCCACAGATTCGGGGACACCCAAAATGTCAAGGACGATGCGCGGAGTCGGACGATCGTTGCCCTGGCCAATAATCATACCATCACAAATAACAAGAAGTAGCTTGCGCTTGTCGTCATAGCGCATGCGAGCCATAGAGTCCATGGCACGGCGCAATGACTCTTCGTCTTCGGTGTAAACCGGGACTTGGCAAATGATGAATTTGTCCAAATTCTCGGGAAGGTTCTTCCTCCCGAATTGCAAAGCAGCTAAGAATTTGAAGCCAATAATGGAAACAAGCATAATCGAAATTGCGAGAATGAAGTATCGCGCAAACTGACAGCGAACTGAGTCTCGAGTGTCAATTTTGCCAATGAAGAACAGGTTGTCAAGGCAAAGTTGCATTCGGGATCTAAGTGCCGTGTCGAAGTTCAAGTCTTCCCAATACTTGGTCACATCCTCTCCAGCCTTTCCCTGGAAGATATCGACAAGCAGAGGGTTCATGTAATCGGTATCAACAGTTCCCGTGGCGTTCTTTCCTGTTGGCCGACGGGGTACTCGGGGCCCGGCGATGTAATAGGTTAGGTCGTAGATTTTGCCGTTGATACTTGCAACTTTCTTGGAATCGTCGGTCGCCAGCTTCTTCATTGCCTTTGAAGTATAACCAACGTAACCTTTCTTGTAATTTGAGCGCATCATGAGCATTTGTTCATAGAACCAATCAGGGCGGGAGTCGTTAGTCCAATAGCGGAAATCGTGGTACTTGGCATTGACATCGAAGCTGGTGCTGGACGTTGTGGCTGCGGAATCATTCAAATTTGATCGATAGTCCAAGGGTACGCTGGGGTCCACTTTCCCACTGACACCCTGGCATAAAGCCGAGACTTGAACAGGGAAAAGATTGGTAGCGTCAGTGCCGGCATACGCCTTCATGGACTTCTGGGGAACGATGTCAGGGAAGTGGGATGGCATGAAACTTCCAAGGTTGAAGACCACGCCTCGGATGGCAATATAAGAGTCTTCTGTACCCTTACCATTCTTACCGCTGAGCTCTGCCGTGTTGTAAACATCCTGAG